ACCTGCTTGAATGAGGGTCTGCGGACAATTAAGATCCACAAATCTGCTTTTTGGTTTTCATGCGAAGCTTTTAGAAAGAGATTTTATTTGATAAAAGAAATGATTCTGAACATAATTGGATGTTTCTGATCTTTGTTCAATTTACAGGAAAAACCAAGAAGTATTTTTCTCTTCTTTCTATTGAAAGTTTAAATGTTTTTATCATATATTACGCTGTGAGACATTTTGTAAATTGAATGGAGTTCGGGGAGGAAAGGTCAGAGACGTCTCGTTTTGCTCTATCATATAAAATCTTTTCCCAAAAGCTTTGATTGGAAGTCAGAAAGTAGATTTTAAGAGTTTTGATTTTCGGCAAGCACTCATCCAAGCAATTTTGCTGAATTCTTCTGACCTTCAATCCGAATAGAGAATCTTTTTAGCTACACAAACATTTTTTTCAGATTCTTGCTAGCAGTTACCGTCGCGAAGAAAACTTAAAAATACAACTACTCTAAACTTATATCCGCATAATTTTTGAGCTGAACTTTTGCCCATGAGCGTTCCTTGACAAATTTTGAATTGTGTACGTGAAAGTAATGGCAAAATTGAAAAGACTCGAACAAATATCATAGTGCATGAAAAATTAAAATTCAAAGTGAATTAAGTCTATCTAATTCAACACATTCTGTGTTATATTTCACACTGAAACAGTAGTTTAATGAAGTTTAATTAATAATTCAACAACAAAATGCTTTCCTTTTTTTGAAAAAATATTTTGATAAATGACTTTTATACAGATTTTTGTGGTACTTCTGAAGAATTCTAGGCTGATAAACATTTACTAAAGTCTTTTAAGTATGATAAAAGTGACAATTAGGTATCGTTTTTGTATCATTATCCTCTTTGTTTCCGTACTAAGAAATCATTAAAATTTAATTCGGTCAGTTTCTTTCGAAATCATGACTCGAATTTTAGAGATCATCATCGAGGTTTATGCAATATTTTAGCGATAAACAAATTTTTTTTTCTTAATTTTTAATGCATAAAAGAAGATTCTGTTGACAAATCTTGTAAATCTACGACTAAAGGAGATGTCAAATAAATCTGTTAAATACATTAGTTTGTTTTTAGTTCTGAAACAGTTCCGATATGAAAAAAAAAAAACACAAGACATGAGATATTAGAGAACTCCTAGTTATGATCGTTATCTACCACATGAAAAAATAATTCTCAACATGGAAGAATACTTAATGAGAAATAATAAATCGATTTCCAAGATTATCTAATAGATTTTTTCAGCTCGTATTCCGAAAAGCAATCTTCTATGGTATAGTTTTTGATTGATATAGAAACGATTGAGTACTGAGTAATGAGATGTATTAGACAGATTATGTATAGATAATGCTTGTGTCTATTGTTAACTTTCAACGTACTAAAATCTTTAATTCCTTCTTCCTAAAAGATAAAACAAGTTAATTTCCGTCAGAATTCTTGAAACTAAAATTAATGTATAGGAAGATAGGTTGAGGTCGAGCTCTTCATAAAAAATATGATTTTTAATTTAGTATGTCGTTGTTATGAGATAAAGTAAGAATTTTTTTTCATTTTTTCTTGTATTGATGTTTTTTCTGATTGTGCATTTCATAATTCTTGAAAGAACTTCATTGTAGTCAATTGCTTTTTCTCTTGTTTGTGAAGCTTCTATCCCTATTAGAGTCCCCTTTTTTAATTAAGCTTTTTTAAGTAGGTCATTATTTTTTTAAAAGTACTTGCAGGTAATTAACTTGTCATCTTTTTGCATCCTATAAAAAGTAAGAATCTAAAAAACCGAGAACTCTGTCAAGCACTACAGTTTGACATGCTTATTTCAAATAATTAAATATTTATAATGAGAATCTATTGTGAATTTCGGAGTGATAAATGAACTACTTTCCACTCTTGTTTGTTGAATATCTCTTGAAAACATCATGATATAGAGCTAGAAATTTTAGCATAACATCTTCACTAGAGTCTCAGCATATACTGGAAATTTCATGGAATTTAAATGTACCTGAATCAAGATCAGTTTCGAAGAGGCTTAATAAAAATGTCACTTTCAATGTTTTATCTAATATTTTCCTCCCGACGAAACGACTTAAAACTCCGGGAGAACAAACATTTATTATTTAGAGTACAGACACATTGTGCATGATTCAAGAATCACAAGTTCCAGGAAGACTAACCCGATCTTCGAAGAGACCCACCTTTTTGATCCATAACTGGATAAAAATCAAGAAATCTCATATTTAACTTTGACTCTGTACAATCATTTTAAAATTAGTCAAATTATACTCATTTATATTTTATCTATTAACATTTTTTAACAATGTTTTAGAAATAAATCTTTATTCGAATCTATAATTTTAGAATGTCCTTGCTGCCGCTAGTCCATATTTCCGTGCCATGTTTACCACATCAGAAATGTCTGAATCATCACAACCTACAGTTACTCTCAATGGAATTGATCCTGATGCCATGTCGGAACTTATTGAATACGCATATACTTGTAAAAATTTTGAATAAAACTTTTATTATTTTTCATTATTATTATTATTTTTTTTTCATAGCGGAAATAACAATCTGTGAAAATAATGTACAATCATTACTCTCCGCTGCTAATTTACTAATGATGCAACCTGTTCGTGATGCATGTAGTTCTTTTTTTGAACGTTTTCTTGATGAAACAAATGCCATTGGTATAAATTGTTTTGCTGAATTACATGGTACACAAGAATTAACAAAAAAAGCAAAACGATTTGTTTTAAAAAAATTCTCACAAGTATGTTTATATAAATGAAATATTTGTTATGAAAGAATTTTATTTGTTTATCTATGTATTTCAAGGTTGCTCAACAAGATGAATGGCTTCATGTTTCGACACAAAAAATTATTGAATTTATAAGTAAGACAGTTGATGACATTGAATAGCTAGAAAGTTGCTTTCATTGTGAAAGTTTATAATGCGCGTATATATGATTTTATTGATCAGAACGTTAAACTAGCAGCATCTGAACATGAAGTTTGATCATTAACTTTAAGTTCATCAGCAATGTAATGTTTGTTGGTTTGAATGACAAAAGTTATCAAATCGAATTTTTTTTATAATACGTACATTATGACTGGTGCTGTTAAATTATAGATCCCAAATGTTCGCTAACACTGTGAAGATATTCTGAAGGTGTGCTATAGAAAATGTCGAAAATTTGAACTAATAAGATATTCATTATTTTTCGCATAATATCAACATTATAACATAGATCATACAGAAATCAAGTGATTAAAAAAAACGGAAGAATTCGTAGCATAGGTTTTTTTTCCGTTTAGCAACTGCAAATGTGACAAACCATCGAAATATTCCATGGCGTTTATAAGTGCATCATAAAATCATTTACAAAGATTATCTATACAACACTAAATATCAATATTTTTCTATTGTTGATATTTTTTGTTTCGGTCAACCTCTTATGGAGGAAACAAATTATGGCCATGAATAGATCTCGGTGAGACTAACGAGCGAATCCATTCGATTGATAATCTTAATTTGAGCTCATGGATAGGATTCATAGTGTAAATATAAATTCTGAGAGGATTTGTGCCATTAGGCCTGTCTTCTCGAGTTATGATAATTTCACTGAAACTTTTAGTCCATTGCAGAATATCGCCAGACAAAACTGCGACAAGGAGTTTCAGTCTGAAGTTCTCTTCAATAATAGCACTTATGGTATCGTATGCCCAAAATCTGAATTATTTTTGCAGTTCTTATGCAAAACCAATGTTTTTTGCAAATGTGTTATGTCAGAAGAGAAACATCGGTTTGAGTTGCAACTTTTGGAATACCGTAAGAATCTTGAGAATTATTGTTGGAGAGAATTTCAGAGCGAAACTTCTTGTTACAATTTTTCTCGTGATATCCTGCAACAGGTTAAAAATTCAGTAAAAGCACCATAAGTCGAGAAGGTCTAATGGCACAAATCTTCTTAAGATTTTTATCTATATTATGAATCCTACCTATGAGCTCAAACAAAGATTATCAGTCGTATGGATTCCGTCATAACACAAACTTAAAATGATTCATGTCTATGGCTTATTGATATAGAGTTATAACCGTTTAAAGGAAATTTTTACCGAGAGCAAAGCATTTTCACAAAATTCAAAAACAAGAAGTTTTGATCTGAAATTTTGCCTATAGGCACATTTGGTAATCCTAAAATTTTCAACGAAAACGAATTTGTCTTTTTCAAAAGATTCGATTTCGAAGCAGACTCGATTCTTGTGTCCTCCTATCATAAATTGCTCCTTTTTTTGAATACTGAATATTTCGAGAAAGATATTTACATTTTTGTCTAAGCTGTCAGGACTACCAAACGTCGTTATGGTCATAATTCTTTATCAGTGTGTCATAGACTGGAGTCCTTTTAAGCTTGTCTTAGTCTCACTGAGACAAATATGAAGTCAAATGACGTCCCTAAATTGGATATTTCTTCTAGTTAATTTGAGCAATAGCTCATCAGTATTTTAGAAGAAAATTTATTTGAAGGATGATTTCTCTATTGTCGTCTTTTCACACTCTTTGAAAATACAAATCCAAGAATCTGATTGAACATCCTTCTATAGT